CTTTCCCTATATTCCTCAACGATCGTTAATGTGTGAACCATAGTCGAGTAGATAATGTTACATGTCAAACATAGTCACAAGCAGTTCCATCGGGTATCGTTGATTCTCAGTTTAAAAATACTGATATAATATTCAACTCCATTATCCAACCGTGTATGACTTAATTAATATCGTCCATAGTAAAAAGGACATCAGGTTTTCCAAGACTATCGAAAAACAATCGAACGGACGCCGCGACATTTGTCGGACTGCTTCGACCATAATTTCAGAGTGTCAACGAATTAAAGAGCTGAGCTGCAACCACCAATGGCAGTCGACGTGTTAAATAGCACGAACTATCACACCGACATTTAAAAAAAAATCCACATTCTGTCAAATGCGAGCTTACCTGCACTTCGTTCCCTGGTTTTGGTTCGGTCGTGTATTCGCGTTGTTCTCTTCTTCGTCAACGTTTATCCTGTCATCCGTGCTCGGCCGTGCACCCCCATTATTCGGCCTGTCGTCCGTCGTAGGCCTGTCATCGTCATCTTCGAAATTCGGTTTTCCTTGCCCTTTTCCCGGTTTACCGCTTAACCCCGGCGGACCGCCACCACTTAATCCCGGAGGGTGGTTTCCTGCTAATCCTGGGGGCACACCACCCGGAGGACCTCTCTTGCCGTTTGTATCCTGATCCGTGAATTTATTATGGCCGCGATTCGAGGACCAATTGCTCGACGCCCATGGTGGTGCTGCGCTTCTTTTCACGCGACCGTCCGCCTGATCGGTCACTAACCATGTGACAAAAAAAACCTACAGTTAACCCTTTCATCGCTAAGGGTGACTTATAATATCCAATGTCGGGCCCCTCGATGTACACTAAAGATCACCTATCTTATATCCAAAAGGTGACTATAGTCACCAATTTTCTATCCTAAATGTGACTATAATCACTCGCTTTGTATCCTGAATGTCACTATAATCACTCGTCTTATATCCTAAATGTGACTATAATCACTCGTCTTGTATCCTAAATGTGACTGTAGTCACCTATTTTGCATCCTAAACGTGACTATAGGCATTCATCAAAATTTCAAAATATTTAAAAATTTACCGAAATTTAATTAATTTTGTTTAATTAATTTTAACAAATGTTAAACTGTTCTTCAACGAAATGTAGTCTAGTAACTCAACAACTGTTCCGTACAGTAGCAGCATACTAGCGGCAAACTCCATGGCAACGAAAAGATTAATGAAATAAATTCCCTTGACTTTTATCAAGACACTGTTATTCAATCGTTTCGCGATGCAAGCGGCCCCGTGACACGAGTCCTTACGGAAGAAGTATGAATTACGACGATGCACGCCGTGACTCTAACAGAACTAATAGCGGAATAACGTGTGTAATTTGGAACGGGACGAATTATGGTCAGAGAACTTGAGACAAGTTACGGAGAATATAGAACCATTGAGCCGACGAGCGGAGCGAGTCCATTATTTGGTTTTGGGAAACGTTGTAACTTGATTCCGAACGATTTTGTTGGATTAGATTTACTCAGCTGAATTGTGGTAGAGAAACGCGTCTCAGGTGGCGAATATGCAAATGATGATAATTAAATACGGTAATTTGTCGAAAAATTACTTTATCGCTTATTTCGATGATTTTTTAATATGTTGTAGAAATCAACATTCTGAATAACTTTTTCCTTTCAGGAAAATGTCGGTCGGCCCTAGTTTCCGAGATATTCGTAAAAAACAGTAGGTACCACTACTTTCCTGTTTTGGGTGTGTGGTTAACACTGGGTGGTGTGTTGAGAGATGTTGGGTACGTGGTTAACACTGCGTGGTGACTTGGCTAACACGTTTGTTCATTGCATTCCACTTCTACTTATTGCCAGCACGGCTATGTATACGGAAACATTTTTTTTGTTAATAACTTTTTAATCAGAGATCATTGGAGGTGGGTTTCCTAAACAGCAGTTCTATCTTCACTGTATTGGTACCGACAGTTCTTTGCGAATATCTCGGAAACTAGAGCCGACCAATACTTTCGTGAAAGGAAAAAGTTATTCAGAATGTTGATTTCTACAACATATTAAAAAATCATCGAAATAAGACAGACTCTACTTGGAAGTGGTAACTTTTCTTTATATTACGTCAATAGATGAACTTCATAGACAAATTTACCACTTATAATCAATAAAAAGTAATCTCAGGAAAGAGGGAACTTTATATTTTAATAATTCTGTTTAACTTTTGATCGTTTCAAAAGATACTCTAAATGATTAGTGTCTTAATGCGAGACTTTAAACGTCTTATCATTGATGAGTGTCAATGTCATGCTCTAGTAAATGCAATACGTAATACATCACTCGTTGTTTGTAAACAATCACTGATAGTAATGTATTTCATCGCAACGCAATATTCTTTATAAATTGCCAAATACCGTTTGTGTAAGCGACAAAAATGACAGCCTTATTGAACCTTATACGCATTTGGAGAACAAGGATCGTCTACACCCACGATAGATTCTAATTAATGGTTGTTATTATACTAGAAAACCCTATTTTTAGCATCATAGAGCTAGAGATACAATCTTCGATCGTTAAAATTACGCAGAACGCTGTAATCTTTAGTTCAACTTGCCTTTGTGCATTTCACGTAATTACACACACTACATTGTCAGTTGACATCACCAATTTATATTAGTAGAAAAAAATATAATAATAGACACTGTTGTATACGAACGTTAATTTAATTCATATAATATTAGTATTAGTCATCCTGTTACTTTCCGATAACTATTTCGAACCAAGCGAATCAATCGTCAAACAGTGAACATCCCAGATTCTTTCCTCTATGATCTCATCCGTTCCCTATTACTCATCCTCGAACTTCGCCCTAAATGTCTCATCCCTTACTGACCGTTAGACACAAGATATCCCCCACTTTCCAAATTACTAAACCTATATATATCACGTATGTCTATATAAAAGCAGCATTATTTCTCAAAATACACTTCGTATAACTGTCTAGAACCGACTTTGTATTATATCTATTGTACGTGTAAATGTATTTCACTTTAAATTCTGTATTTGTACCGAGTTCTTATTAAATATAATAAAATAATCAGTCAACGGAATACAACAACGCAGGACCAATTTCTGGACCTAGCCCGCTCAGTACCTTCCCTATCCTCCTGCAATTCTACTCGCTAAATCCACCCAGAAATATGTCCCACATATTACGAAACACCTTCATTGATCTCACAGAAACTTCAGAATTTCCATTGCTGGTAAACTTAAAGCTCAATTACGACACATCTAAAGTGTGCCGCAAAATTATTCGCAACCTGTCTCGTCCGTGGATTACAGACTCGCCCGACGACGACGGACAATTTTATATTGTCGAAAAATTTCACCATTCCCCCCACCCCACATCCCCCTTGATCCCCAAACGTTCAAACTTCCATTAAGTCCCGCTAACGAGCGAAACTTCGTTCGAACACCGTACACGTCGCGAACTCGGAAGTCGCATCCCCGGGGCTCCGTGACTCCCCCGTGCACACGCTTCTTTTTCTTTTTTCTTACCCCCTCACCCCCTTTATGGTTCCCCTTGGCGAACAGCATGGAAATCGAGCATAATGAAGGCTACTCACGCGACACCGCTAATACCGCCAACGAGACGGCCACCGAAAGTGCAACGCACGCGTTCATAACTGCGCTGAACGATGTGACAGCATAACGATATAAAACCCACCGTTCACGATCGTCGACGAACAACTGACCGGATGGGGACCGTGCACATCGAACGACGACGTCAAGGCCCGCGTGGACTGGCTGTAGGAATTCCCCTTCGATAACCCGAGGCTACCAATCGACGACACCAAACTGCCGGGGGAGGGGACACGAGAGCGTATTTGACAGATAACGAAGAAAACCGGTTGTGAAAAAAACATCGGTTTTCGCTATCGATGCCCACGGGATGGAACGTACGGATAACATTCGACGGGGGGGGGGGGCGCATGGATAGACGACGAATGCCTTTGGCAGTGAATTGTACGACCGTGAACCGTGAAATATACAGCTGGTGACGGAAGTTGTCGTGGAGAAGGAATGCGGAGATGAAAAGAGATGATGGATAGAAGAAGTAAATAGTTGCACAGTCGTTTAGAATAAATAGATTCTGGATTTTTTGTTAAAATGGAATCCTAGCTTGAATGATCTTTCGTGAAAGTTTTGACTCAAGTTGGACGAAATTTTATTTGAACAATATCACATTGCTGCACATGAAATGACAGATTTTACTGATAGAAAAGATGTCCCAATTACTGCCATTGTCGCTAATATTGCCACTTTATTTATTTTACTCGATAGAAACGTAACGTAAGAAGAATTGTGTACAAAAAATTTTATTATTACATTGGGACTCTGATTTACATAAAAACAAAGAAATACATGTACTTGTATGTACTTGGTATATGGAAATTAATTTTGAAATATGAAAGTACAATTCGATCGTCGAAAAAGCGACTGCGTAAGTAGGAAGTGATGTTGAAAATATACTAAAGCAAGAGCCATAGTTTTACTACTCAACTTATATTTACTGTACAAAATGGATTGTTAAAGTATATAAGAATTAGGTACTTTGATTTTTGAGGTGGCAGTTATAGCAACAATGGGATTGCTCGTTGATTTTAATTAATTATTTATTAATTCTTCATATTTAATGAATAAAACTATTTTTTTAATGCAAGAGATGTTAAATAATATTATGTTCTAAACTGAAACAATTTTTAGGTTAAAACAACACGTAAAATGATTAAATGAAGTCACACTACAATTATAAGGTTGCAGTAATTTACCTTCAGGGCCGTTCCTGGCGGAGGTGCAAAATATAGTGCTAAGTAACGCAGTATACGCGATTGCGATCGAATAATTATAATAATGTATATTATTATATGAATATAATTATTATTTTTATTATTGTAATATCATTTTTAGTTTTTCTCAGTTTATTCCGGTCATTGCTGATATCGATCGAAAGGTCGAAATATGATCGACTCATGAATATCCGAGTACGCGGGTAATTTTTGTTTATCCGGGTATCTCACGGGTACCCGGGTAAAAGTAATAGCTCTAGTCCAAACACGACATAATTTGGAGTATGTTCAGTATTACATATGTAGTTCGAATCGCAACATTAAGGAAAAACTAAGGGAGGAAAAGAAAATTGATCACATTTTTGCCTTTTCGTTGCAATAAATATAATTGTTTATTTTACTTATATCTCGAGATAAACCTCGTCGAATAAAGTTATTCATTCGATGCTCGTCGAAGAAAGATACTTTTTTTATTCGAATTTCGAATAACGAATACAATTTTTTTTCGAGAACTAAAAAGTCCACCCAAGTACGTCGGGGAAGAGACCAAATGAAATTAATCAAAGTACTGTCGACGTAAACAGCAGCTACTTCAGGTGTGCCTTTAAATAATATACACGAATCTGGTCCGCTCATCTTTCCACTTTGACCCAATTGCAGTTGCCTTCGCTCGTAGACGTTGTCCCAGTCGACGCAGATCGGTCGCACGTGCGCTGTTATCCTGAAGGGCGTGATCAATTTGATCAGTGCTATGTCCTGGCTGAAACTCCCCCTCGAACCTATGTACCTTTTCGGCAACCAGATCTCCTGCACATTCGACTTCTGCAGGTAACCCTCAATGGCGTTCCAATCGCGGAAATGCTTGCCCCCGGTCAAGACGTAATTCAATTTCTCGTTGACTCTTCTGTACGTATCGTCGTAGAAAGAGTGGGCTGCTATTTGCAGAACGTTGGTATTTTTTCTTTGTTATAATCAGACGAATATTTATGCAAATATACTTTTGTCGATCAAACTAGAAAAACCGTGTCGGTCACGGGTGACCGTCGTGTAATAAAAATTCAAATTCAAAATAATAAAATCAGCGTGAATGGAAAATCGATCGAAATAAACTCCACGGTGAATGTGTTAACCATACGAAGCAATCGACAGATTTTCGCAAAGATTTTGAAAAGTCACGCTAACTCGTCTGTTCTATTCCCCTTTTCTCTGATTTTTGTTTTCTTGAATGCATGTTTTACGGTACATTAACTTACGTGACGCAGTCGTACTCGTCGCTCGAATCAATGCAATCGAATTTGTTGTCACACCTCAAGGCCCCGGGCAAACAATCGTTATTCTAGCAACGGAATTCGTGTTCTCTGTTTTTGAAATAACAACAAACGTTGGTTACATGTTTGCAGACGGTGTGTGCAGGATTTTTCTTGATTGCCCCATTTCATCCGGCCGTGCTCGACAAGACAGAAATAAAATAGTTCCGGAAAAAGAATTCGCTGTAAATTGCAACTATGATTCTCGATCTTTTCCCCTCGCCCTCGCAGCACTGATTTAATATTGACGCCAGTGGAAAACGTTTCGCTTTGTCTACAATCAGTTTTCCACGATTTTTGTCACAGTTTATAATTAGTGAATAATAATATTTAATACATACTAAGAATGTCGGTCTCAGAAAGTTTAAATCATCTCTGTGCTTTGGTGAACATATTTAGCTTCTTCAAGGATAACACGTGGATCTTTAAAAAATATTAGGTTGTACATACGAAATGATCGTTTTATTATCCGCTCTTCATACTATATTGAATATTGTACTCAATAATTAAAATATATTCAAAAAATAAATATAACATTTATTTTAAAAAAAAAACAAAAATATAATTCAACAGAAAACAAGCTGCGACATTTCTATTAAGTTTTTACAACTGTATTCGCTACGAAGTATGTACACGTCGTGGACATTGCTTTCATCGCGGAAGAGCAACGGTACGAATTATTGAAAGTTTATCATTTTAAAGTATTCCATAAAAATACCGTCGAAGATCTGCGACCTTTCACGAATTAATCTGAGGTCGTAATCTCTCTCTCTCTCTCTCTCTCTCTCTCTCTGAGAGAGAGGGTAGAGAAAGAGATGAAATAAATGCGACATCATCCTCAGTATTTCTTGGAAATGGAATAATGTTTCTCACGCTGTGAACCCGGTTGCTAGACTGAAGTTGTGACATCACCGGGTATTCACGAAACAAACGAGAATTATACCTCGACAGCTAACGAAACAAAGAACGTAACCCTTCCGAAAAATCTCAATACACAGAGATTTCTTTCCATTCGTCGACGTTGATTTCAGCATATATTTGTTGCTACATCGTCCTAGAAACTTGAGTAATGGATGTAATGCTTCAGGAACACGGCGCCAAGCATGTGTACAAGGTACCAGAAGGGTTACGCGAACTTTGCTCCGACATTTCACGCGAGGTAAGCACGCGCGACGTCTTGCTGAATCGCGAGATCCGTCGTGTTTATCTTAACTGTTTCCAATCTCAACGTTTCTTTTCTATTAACACCGGGGTAAGGTTCACGGTACCGTTTCTTAATTACTGCTATACACTTATCTTCTTCCTAATTAAAAGTCACAGGTATTTGTTGTAAGAGTTATGATTTACACGAGAGCAAGTGAATCCAAATTATTTTTGCTAATTGCTCCGTGCACCGAGTGATCATTAATTATACGAATGTAATAAGTGTAATTGTGAGCGAAGAGGCAGAAGGTGTATTAAGTAAAACACAATAGAACAAAGTTCAACCGGGAGTATAACAAAGACGATATCACTTTCTTGACCTAGAAACGCTATTCATTGAGGTACCGAGATTTTATTCCATTCCTAATTGTATGTATCAGTCTTATAGAAATATGAACCAATGTACATAAACATTTTGCAATTTAATTATCTATTATATTTGTGCATACTTCAATAGTCTGTTATCAACAGAAAAATAGACACAGATCTACACATGTACACTATCGTCCAGATATCCGGACACTAATATGATGAAGCAAATCTGTGAAATATTCCACGATATTTATAAATACTTTTTATACGAAATGTCTTTATTTACTTTGATAACTTTATCTTACGAAACGTGAATATATTAAATTGTTATAGAGAAACGTGAGTAATATTCGTCAACAAATAGTGTCGATAAAAAGTACCAATGACCAAAATTGAATGAAAAGGTATATGTATGTATATGTATACGTAGAATATACAGGGTGTCATGTAATTGTAAAACAACTGGATAGGAGGTGAATCTACGTGAAAAAGTAAACCAAAAATACAGAATACAGTTTTTTCATTGAAGACTTCGTTTTCACGATAATCGACATTAAAAATGAATCTGAAACGCGTGTATTCGTCCATGGTAGTAAGTAGAAACTGAATGTAATGAACAGACGCGTTAGCCAAGTCTTATACAATTTAGAATTATAGAAGTCCTACATAAAAAAATTTTATTTTATATTTTCGACTTATTTTTTCACGTAGAATCACTCCATACCGTGTTATACCACCCGTTATATGACACCCTGTATATACGAAAAGAACAAATTTTAGTTTTGTTCACAAGGTCTGTTGCGCTTTCATGCGTTTAAATGAATATTAATCATGTAAAACAAACAGCATGAAAAGTGTAAGACTCAGTTTCAATTACGTAGTGCAAGAAATTGTGAACTTGTGTTCTACAGAAGAATTAACGATAAGAAAGTCTGGTACTATTGTAAAATTAGCCAAAAAAAGCCATTCAATTCCATAAGTAGTAGCAGAAATGATAGTCTTATTTACTGAAAAATAGCAACATTCTAATATCGACAATGTATGTACATACTGTGTCCGGATAC